ATTAAAAAATGATGTATCCTTGGACAATTCTAGGGTAAAAAAATATCCCATAAGTTGTTGTAGGTGGTAAAGGATGAACACTAGGTACAGTAGTATTTATAATATTTCACATACTGCTCTATCATCACTGGAAATGTTTACATATATATGTCTACACGTTTTACTATACAAAAATTATCATAACTACAATTGACGTTTAGAATAAATACAAGTCTTGTATAAATGGAATATTAGTCTGTTACCTGTCATCTTTATATTTATAAACATTCATTTGGAACTGTTTATTCCACAATTCCTACAGACTTCTATTGAGCTTGGTACTATGGTGACATTTAGTCCAAGATTTCTACCGATATCTACTGATATTTATTCTAAGATTCCTACTGATATCTATTAAGTTTGGTACCATGGTGACATTCAGTCCACAATTCCTACCAATATCTATTGAGTTTGGTACTAAGGTGACATTTAGTCCACAATTCCTACCGATATCTATTGAGTTTGGTACTATGGTGACATTCAGTCCACAATTCATACCGACATCTATTGAGTTTGGTACTATGGTGACATTTAGTTCACAATTCCTACCGACATCTATTGAGTTTGGTACTAAATAGGAATTGTGGACTAAATGTCACCCCGATATCTATTGAGTTTGGTAGTATGGTGACATTCAGTCCACAATTCCTACCAATATCTATTGAGTTTGGTACTAAGGTGACATTTAGTCCACAATTCCTACCGATATCTATTGAGTTTGGTACTATGGTGACATTTAGTCCACAATTCCTACCGATATATATATTGAGTTTGGTACTATGATGACAGTTTATCCACAATTCCTACCAATATCTATTAAGTTTGGTACTATGATGACATTTAGTCCACAATTCCTACCGATATCTATTGAGTTTGGTACTATGGTGACATTTAGTCCACAATTCCTACCGACATTTATTAAGTTTGGTACTATGGTGACATTTAGTCCACAATTCCTACCGATATCTATTGAGTTTGGTACTATGATGACATTTAGTCCACAATTCCTACCAATATCTATTAAGTTTGGTACTATGATGACAGTTAATCCACAATTCCTACCGATATCTATTAAGTTTGGTACTATGGTGACATTTA